TTGCATAATTTTTTCTAAAATTTTTTAGTGTTTTGTTTTATCAATTTTTCTAACATAATAAATTCTGATATGAGTTAACATCGTGTGTGTCATGGCTATGACTTCAAATTAACCAGAATCTATTTTTTGTGTGGCTATGTAATTTAAGATTACTACAACTGCTATTCTGAGAGCATATTTGAATTTTTTAGATAAGCAATAATGGTCAACTGTGTAGTTGGTTATATATCATTAAAATTGGAAGATAATTTTTTAGAAATTTAATATCTTACAATAATTTTCTCGATTACTTATCTAGCTTCCATCATGTCATCTAAGAGGGAGCTCTAACTACCAAATAATTTTATGATTTGGATTGATGGTTTATATTCTCTTCTTCAAGAATTATTGATTTGGTTAGGCCTATGAATTTTTCCTTATTGGTCCATTCTATAAAACATTGTCTAAAATGGTAACAGAAAGTTATATTAGTTTCATGCCCTTTTGTCAATGTAAGTTGCTAAGAATTATATTATATTATGTAGTTTTTAAAAACCATTATCAATTGAGGCATATGTATGAATTAATTAACATCTTTTATCACTTGTAATTCTTTAGACATAAAATTTTTTATATCAGCAATCGAAAATATTTTATATTGTAATAAATAGATATTGTATTAAAATAATATTATTTTTAGAAATGTTTTGTATTGCATTAATTATTTATATGCTAGTTTATTTTGTATGCATAATATAATAAATGACAAAATATGAAATTCAGAATAATTGTTCAGTTATATTTTAAAAAAGTATATATTAATATAAAACCCGGCGGAGGCCGCGCAAAAGCAGGCCAATGGCTAGCAAATTAGGGGGTAGCCCCCTGAGATTGTAAAGGCTTGCGACGCCCCTGTAAGGGAGGTTAATCCCACACCGCTAATTTTTTTTGATTTATAGCCCACTTTATATATTTTTTTTTCAAAAAAACTAAGCCCCTTAATATTTGTATAAAGTCTTGGAAACCTAATATTAAGGTTTTGAAAATTATAAAATATTAAAAAAATTCTATATAAAAGGCCTACTTCATGTTTTTTATAGTGACGTTAAAGAGCCCGGTTTGGATCGATTTTTAAAAACGACTCTATTAAGATTTTAGCCAAAATAGTATTATGTAGGCCTTAAAATATTGTTCATAGATGGCAGACAAGTTTGTACTTCTATTTGCCAAATTTGAAGGCTTAAAATCTTAATCAGCCCTTTTTTAGAAACGAGGAAAAATCTCGTTTTTTAACACTAATTTTTCGATAAACTTTTTGAGTTAAATTTTTTGAATGCAGCTTTAAAAAACATAAGAAATCGTTTTAAAGTTAAATTGTATTATAAAATAATTTTTTTTATGTCTATAATTATTGAAAAAATGTATAAGCACTAAATAATGTTTTTGGAAAATTAGCTCATTATATCTACAAGAACGTGAGCATATTAATCAATAATAGAATCTATATGAATAATATTTAATAACAAAAAAATTAAAAGCTGATAAATAGCCCTTTCAATTGAATCGGACCAAAAATGATCTTTCTCATGCGCAGGAATTAAACTGTAGTCAATGCTATATGTAAAAAAATCTAAGTGCATCATATGATATAATTTTTTGTTCACCCTAACCTAATAAAATATTTTTGTCTAATAATAGTTTTAATTAATTAATTAATAAGAAAGGAATTAGTTAATTTGTTTTCAACAGTTTTAATTTATTTAATAAATTACAATGTGTACTTTAGCTCTCCAAAATTTTGACAGGTCTCGAGCCTCCAATAGGTTTCTACTGACGTCACTTGATGGTTAATAAGTATTTAATTTGTCTAATATTCAAAAAAAACAGTAAACTGTAAGGTAAAATAAAAGAATGGTTAGTTAAATTTACGGCATCAGCTTCATATTCACTACCAATAGAAGCTAAATAATCTAAAAATATAATCATAATGATTTACAATTAAATGCAAATCAAATGACTTAATTGGATTTGGTGTTGGAAAGGTTAAATTTGTATTCTAATAAAAATGGTTTGAAATTAGTGATCTGAATCTGGCCTAATTTTTCAAACCCGACCCTGCCCAAAATTTTTTTAAAAAGTTTTACCGGCCCAGCCCGAACCTGATTTTTTTTTTCAAAAGTATTGCCGCCCTGGCACAAACTTTTTTTAAAAAATTTACGGGCCCGGCTCGAATTTATTTAAATATAGAAATTAATTTTTATAATTACTCATAATAAATATACCCTGATTTTTTAAAACAAATATTAGGCTCGACCCAGATTTTTAACAAAAAAATTGACCCAGGCTACTTTTGCAGATCTCTACTTGAATGATGATAATCAATCTATCTCCAGGAGGTGCGAGGGACTAGAATAGAAATCGAAGATAAATTGCGAATATTCTGGGTAGTGTGTTAGGATAGGATTTAGAAACGAACTACGTCTTAGAGAGTTAAAGGCGTTCGAAAAGTCTATTTTAACTAGGATATCGTCACTGGAGTCTCTATGTAAATACATTCTAGTCATGGTAAGGGATACCTCATATCCACCTTTTACGCTGACCACTAATTGATTCGGGCAGAGACTAGATATCGTGACCAACATTCTGCTTACTACTAGCTTGGCGGTTAATCAGCGCCAAGTGGTTCCAATAGCAATAGGGCGAATATCTTCATTAGGTTTATGGAGAGCTACGAGTTTAGTTCCATATTGGAGTGGAACAATGGCGGGTGGTATGTCTCCAGTAAGCATATGGTTGATGAGTTGGGTAATTTTTTCCAAAACCTCGCATTGTTGTACGATGTAAGATACGGTTAGATCCTGTAGGAATATAAGTCGAAACCTATCAAACCCAGGTGAGGAATCGCGTTAAGATAGCCTTTCTAACGTAGCTTGTGGTATAAGTGGCTGCAATTAGAGGGGCTCCAGTATTTCTTTCTTAAGATCGCGTTAGCGGTGTTTTAGAAGAGCTTGCTAATTTGCTTGGTAGTTATGAGCCAGCTTACTGTCAGAAGTTGCCAGGCATAGGGCGAATTTAACATTCAGGTTATCTAGTTTTTTTTAGATATTAGACTGGCCTTGGTGAGCAGATTATTTTTGTGATTCTTATTTTTATACGTCATCACCCTTAAAAGATGTGGAAATGTGAATAATCGATAAGGGGTAAGTAGTTGCATCCTTAATTTGCTATGTCAGAGATTTTTTGCTGGAAAGATCGGGAATAAGGCAGTAAAGGCAAGCCAGTGTTTTACAGAAGAATAATTACTTATCAAGGAACTTTTTTGACAGGCGTCTCACAACTTGAAGCCTTGCCTAGGTATTCGTGAAATAGCAAATGGTTTTGGTTTCGCTAAAAATATTTCTGTAGAGCCAGATGCATTAAACGTCGAAGTATCTGCGCGGAGGTAGGGATTGTTGGGCTAGTAAGCACATCAGCCAATAAGTTGGGAATGGTGACTATGAGTAAGACAAGGGCTGAAAAGTCATTAAGGGTTTGAGGAATGGCTGGTGATAAGATGGGTAGACCAGGTTGAGGACACTCAATTTTCAGGTTCCATGAAATAACAATAGCCCCAATTTGGTTACTTTAATAAGTTTATTATGGGCAGTTACATTTGGTAGATTATGTGTTGAGGTCTGGTGTAGGCTCATAAGGATTGTATTAGAGGTATACTAAATGAGCTGTTTAATTGTAAGATTTCGGTATAGTTATTAATTAAATTTGTTAGAATTGGCATTTTGAAAATAAATATGTTATTGAAATGAACAGTTATATGGTAAATAATCTTTTTCATTATCAAGTAATAGATAGCTTGAAAATATGTTATTGAAATTAGAGTTGTATGGTAAATAATTTTCTCATAAGGGAGCGAAGGATGGAAGTGATGACAAAATTATATTATTTATGTATAAATATTTTGCAAAACTTTGACTTAAATCCTCCCATCTGGAATGGAATAATATAGATATGGTGTTTGTCCCATCTTGTAAATGGGAAATTTTTATCAGATTTAGGGTGAAGATGGATAACATTATTGTTAAAATTCACAAATGTATTTATGGCTACATGTCTATATTGAACTGTATATTGGAATTCATTTAAACTTTGGATTTTCCAGGCTTTAAATAGATTGAAAGATATTAATCATGGTTGAACTCAAATTTGTGTTTAACTATTTCCCAGACTTCAAATAATTTAAGATATTAATCCTGGTTAATTTCAAATTTGTATTTAAACTTTGGATTTTCTAGGCTTCAAATAGATTGAAAAATATTGATCCTGATTGAACTCAAATTTGTATTTAAACTTTGGATTTTCAATCGATTGAAATATATTAATCCTTTGGATTTTATACGCTTCAAATATATTGATGTAAATTCTGGTTGAACTCAAATTTGTATTAATTTAGTGCCAACGGGGCAAATATCCTTTGAGATTAATAACAGCATTGTTGTATGGCGGGATTTGTAATGGAGTGGGAGGAATACCGATGGAGAACCATGTATATACTTGAATCTAGATGCAATAGAGCAGTATAATCCTCAGGGAAAAAAATTTAAATTTGTGATTAATTTGGGTAATCATGTAATTTAAATTTCAAAGATTTATAAGAATATGATATTATATTAGAGTGAATACAATGTTATTTTATGTGATTCTTAACTGATTAATATATAATGAAAGCTTAATTACTTATTAGATTTATAAAATAAAATAAAAATTTTTTTCCCTTTTATTAAAATAATATTATTCCGTAGATATAATAATAACATTATAAATAATTGATTTTCAACACCTAAAAATTACATATAAATCTAACTTTCTTCTCACAAGGTTATAATTTATTTTATTTGTGAGATGAAGCTAGATTTAGATTTTAATCATAAATAATAAATATAATAAAACAAAATATAATATCCATCAATATCATTGTCTTTTTAATATCAATATAATATAAACTTCAAAAATCTTTATATAATATTAATAATTATTCTAAAAGTGAGCATTTATTTTTTATATAAAAAATTATTTTTTAAACAATGACAGGTACGAAACGCTACGAAGTTTTTTTAAAAAAACCGTAAAAAATATTAAAAAAATGGGTAGTCTACTTTTTGCAAAAAGTTCTGTTGGAAGGAATAATTATTTACATTTTATGGTTACAATTGGCCTCTGATACAATTATGATAAATTAATATTTATAAAAATGTAATTTTAATGTTTAATAGACAGATCACTAGTAAAGTCTAATATACATATTGTCTTATTCCTCTATACAAAAAAAATAATCTTATTAGTTGGAGTTTTCAATATTGCCCCCCAAAAAGTCATTGTTATAGAGAACTTTATCTCTTACAAGTAAATCTAAAGATTAATAATTGTGTATAATGAAATATTGTGGTAAATAATAAAGTTTTTTAAAATAAATGATTTTATGTTAATATAAAAAATGACAGGTTTATATAGGACTTTAAGCAAGCTCGATTAGATGATTTATCAAATTTAAGAAACGAGGACAAAAATTACATTTCATTTAAATATATACAAATTAGGCTGTCCTCTCTTTAATTCCTATAATGACATGACTTTTCAACTAATTCTTTAGGATAAAATTTATAAAAAAATGAATTCAATTGCTTTTCGATTCTGCAATGTGTGAAGATTTGATTTTGGGATTTTTGTGACGATGTTTATCTAATCTGAACTTGTATTTTTGAGCCATAGAGTTGACGATTGATATCACGAAATAAATGACGGTTATGAGGAGAATTTTTTCGAAACACCAAGCTAACCAGGTGCTTCTATGCTGCAAGATAAAATATATAACAAAAACCTAAATGTAATAAGAGAAGAAAAAAATGGGGTAGGGTAAAATAGAAGATAGAATAAATTATAACTTAGGGGTTGATCAATGTATTTAACTATAAAAAAGAAGCAGAAGAAAGGTATAATTAACATTCTCCTAAAAGCTGTTATGGAGATTTTTTTACTGATTAATGTAATAAATATAATGGAGAAAAAATATTATATTTTTTAAAAACCAATGAATGCTTTTTAGATCGGTGCAGCTTCGCCTGCTGAGTCACTAGATATTCTTTAAACGGGGACTGCAAGTAAACACCTATGAAAGGAACATATCTAGTAAATAAAAAGTTTATATTAGTTTATTCATCTAAAAAAATTTATCACTAGTGTTTTTAACATTTAGCCTTACTATCTATATTTCTTTTAATATTATAGGTGCAATAATAAAGTGACTGGCTGGATCTCATATTTTATTTAGCATAATAATCCTGGGAAATATAATTTTCAACAAATTTTGGGCCGGGCAATTTCAAGTATAAATTTTCAAATATAATAATACATTTTTCAAATAAATTGATATATTTTTAAATTCTTGCAAAACAAAGTGCTAATATTTTTATTTGCATATTATTTTTTTTGCAATAAAAAAATATTAAATTTTTCTAATTTAAATAAATTCGGGCCGAGCCGATTAATAATTTCTATTTCAGGTTGGGCTTTTCGGGACAAATAAAAAAAAAATTTGTTCGAGATAGCGCTTGGCAGGAGACAAGCTTGAAAAATTAGGCTAGATGCAGATCACTAATTCCTAATAAAACTTTCTTTTCCCATTTACTATATAGGAATATCCTTCTTCTCCAAAAAATGATTTAGCAATTACCACCATGGCGTATAATATAGTTACCTGCTCAGAATATTAAAAAATAGTTGCTTAAATTATAGTGAAAGTTTTTGAAAAACTTTTAGTTTAGTAATTGTGCAAATAAGTTGTACTTAAATAACATCCTATAAAATTTATGACAAATATATCTGGTGATAATTCTGTGATTAGGTCTATGACGTTAATCTGTATATAATTTCGAAAGTTTTTAAAATAAGATCATATATTAGATTCTCATCGAGCTACACTAATTTGTTTCAATATAAAAGTTTCCACGTTTCCATAGCAAGTCTAGGATACAAATACATGATACTTCTAGCTCTCTACCTTTTTATAGGCATCATTACTAAAAGATTTAGAGACTTAATTGTTATGTGTATCGTTTTTTATGTAAAGTGTGGAGTCATTTTTATATTAAGCAAAGTCATTTTTTTTGTGATTAATATTTTTTTTGCGCAATCATTCTTTTAATATATTATTATTTAAAAGGAATTTTATATAAAAATTGTTATTTTTAGATTAATGATTTATTTAATAAATATATATTTATTTTTATAATAAATATAAAAAGGAAGAAAAAAAGGAAGAAAAAAAGAAATAAAATCAATATATTTCTCCTCGATTTTTTTTTAGAAATTATTTTTTGTAGTTGCAAGTTTGTTGTACAATTTTCAGGCTTTTGAAAAGCAAACAATTACAAGGAGAAAGAAAATTAGAAAGGAATTAATATTTTTTTTAAATCTATCAAAAAGGTAAAAAACCAATATTTGATTAAAATTTAACATTTAATTATATATATTAATTAATAATTTTTTTGGATATAAAGATTTAATTAACAAAAAAACTATCCCTGGTTAAAACTTTATATTAATAACAATAGTGCATTAGATATTTTCTAATCAAAATGAAAGGGACTTCTAAAATGCAAGTTTATCCAACTATAACAATTAAAAATCCATCACTTATTTGATCCAATATTGTGTTCTTTAAATATCAATAATGCCAAGGTTAATAAGCCTTATCTATAATAATACAAAAAAATCATATTCTTCCTAATTTATCCATATCAATCATGTATACATATAAGTTAGAATTATTCATATCTTCCATAGTAAAGTTTTCAACTTCCTTTCGTAAATAATCCCAATTTTGGTGGACCTTTTATACTAGAAATGATCAAATCTACTTTACCGATAAGCTCTACGCGGGTACACGTGCCAGGCGGTATTTTAATTTTCTAAATACCCAAGCTGGGTTGGGCCTAAAAATAATTTTTTAAAAATACGCAATCCGAGTCGAATATTTTAAATTGACATTATTATCTACAAAAATTAAAAATAATTACAATATATTTTAAAAAAATCCTGTATGGGCCTGAAAATATAAAACACAGGACAGGCCAAAAAAAAATTTTTTTTAAAAAATCTGGGCCGGCTGTGCAAATACTGCCTCTGCAAATCTCTGATTTTACTTATTTTGCATGTGTAAAGTTGAGAAATAATTATAAATTAATATTTTTAATAAATAATTTTGAAAATATTTTAATTTTAATACCGATTTACCCAAAATAAATTTGGCAAACGACTTAATAGATGTAGACGATGACCATTTAATTTAATTGTATTAAGTACTACAATCTCTTTCATATTATTGCTATTTTTAAAACCAGCAATTGTTATGTAAATTAATCTTAAAAATGGGTATAGGGTGAGTATTATGAAAACATCATCCAATACTTTATTCAAAAGGTCAATATTGCACTTTGATTATAAATATCGGTGCATGGTATACTAAATTTTATCTAACGAATTTAAGCTGCTAATTATAATATAGCAAAACATAGTAAACAAAAAATGGCGACTATTTGTTTTAAAATGACCTTCCCCACTTTATGCAAACTTTACAGTATATTATGTAGAAATTAAAAAAAAAAATTTTATATAGTGATCTACTATTAGCAACCTATCAGATAGGGATGATTAATAAATATTTCTTAATTTTTAAAATAATAATAAAGGAATTATTTATTTGAAACATACTTTAAAATGGCCACCAGTCGATCTACGTGATGTTCACTGAATGCGACGATAACGAATAATTCCTTTAAAAAAATTATTAAATAAGGTATTATAAATAAAAATCTGTAAACAAGTATTTGAAATATACTCCAACCATATTCAAAAAAATATGTGTTATTAGACAGCTACACCACCCTACTTATGATATATATCTAAATTATAACTATAAATAATATAGAATAATTAAATTAAAAGAATATTTTCACGTAAAATGTAGTAGAAATATTTAAATTTTTAGTAGAAGTGTCGTTAAATTGGAAAAAAAACTCGAAATAATTGTCAATTATAAGTTATGAAAAGATAATCAAAATAATATTAAATCACAGTATAACAAAAATTCTTAAAATCCAATTAAGAAAAGATAGATAAAATTAAAAAATTTAAGACTTTTTTAAAAAAAATGTAAGATTTTCTATAACAAGGTTTAAAAAAAAAGAAAAAAAAGAAGTGATCATCGGTCGACATTATTCACTAAGAAAATCATTGAAAATATTAGGTAGCTAGTAACAACTTTGATGTTTTTTTATAGTTATAATTGGACTGATAATTATTAATTAAACCCCCCCCCCACCCCATAAATCACAATTTTTAGACTTTCGAAAGGTAAAAAGGGCGAGGGTATGTAAGAAATAAATATTAAGAATGGAATCAAAAAAAAATTCCAAAAATAAGATAAATCATATTATGTTTTTTAAAAATAATCAAATAAAATGACTAAGGAAGTGGCTTGCAGAGTTATTCATCAAATAAAAAAATATATTAGTCCTACATTTTAATTAACATGCATGTCAATTTAACTCACTTTAGCCATCTCATATATCCTATCCTAGGAAATTGATATTAAAGTATCCCTTCTAATCATTTACCCCAAAAAACTTGAAAATACATTTTTTTAAAAAATGTTAACACAATTTGTGCTCATAAAATAAAATAATTATCACTTGAACGTGAACTTTGACAACTGCTTTGCCTATGAGAGTAGCGCCAAAAAATGTCCAAAATGGGACATTAAAATGACCGCAAGTTATGCCGGCAAAATCGAACAAGGGATTAGGAATCTGAGTAATTAAAACAAAGAATTATAAGAGCTTAAAAAATATACGACTTTCAAAGCTATCAAATACAGACTTAGCTTAAAAAAAAATATCAAATTTTTTTTGACCAATGAGGTAAAGAGTAGAACTATCAGAAACTAGTTTAACAAAGTGTTTTTACTACTACTATTAGGGAAAAATTTAACTAACTCATTGACATAAAGAAAAGTATGGAAGAAATCAACACTTTAAATATTATAAAGATCTTGCATCGATTATGTAAGCATTGATTATATGGATTAATTATTTTTAGTAGTTTTCGCATAATCTAATTATATGTATAAATATTATCTTGTAATTTATTTGACCAGCGAAGGTCAACATTAAAAAAAAATTTAACGGGCATTTTGATAACTACTGCCGCACAAAATGAGCCATTAAAAATAAATTTCAAAGTTTTGAATTTAAGTGAAATTATGTTTAATTTACTGATGCGCATAACAATATCCCAGAAAATCCGACATTTTGAACTAGATTCTGCATGAACAGCTTGGCTCTATCTAAATAAGACTGTATTTTTTTAAAAAAAGATAAAGTAAATTTAAAACTATAACAATCAAACATTGCCATCTTTATATTTTAAGGAAGAAATTATTACCAATTGATTCATTTGCAATTGAGATCTTTGTTCCAGGAGCTCTTCGAATACTTCGTAATTCTCGTCGAAAGGTTGACTCCCAGAAGTGCGAGCTTTTTTTAAAAAAAAAATATAACTAGTGTAAACAAATTATAATATAATAGAGAATTATAATTAACTGAAAATGACTCAATAACCACAATTTCTCTCGCATCATCTTAAATCTTTAATTATATATTGTTTTTATTTAAAATATAATTCGGCATAAATATACCAGCTTTAGCCATGAAATACGGTGGCAACTCGCCTAAGGCAGTCCCGGCTCCCTGATAGTAAAATAAATAAAAAGATGAAAATAAAATATTTTATATAAAAAAATATATATTTAAATGTCGTATTGAAAGAAGGAATTTCGAACATTAAAAAGGTTTATTTGGTTTTTGTAGATTGATAAAAATTGAAAATTTGCCTTCAGCAATTTCTTACCTGATTCGATTTAAAATTTCAGAGGAAAACAATGAGTGATTTATAAAAATCTAAAAATGAATAAGAGATGAATTTTTTTAAAAAATGCAATTTTATAGGAGAGCAAGATTTGAACTTTGATAAATTGCAGATCAACTATTATTTTTTAATAATAAATTAATTAACCAATATTTAAAATTAATCTTAGAACTTTTTACAAATAAAAATAATTTTTTTAACTGTTAGATTTTAATTCCTAACATCTCATATTGAAATTGCAAATAAAAAAGAAAATACAAGCGTACCCACATCATGGCCTCCAAATAGACTTTCCTCATAATAGCCCACAAAGAAACCATTCCATTGGGGCCCGTCAGTGCTAGTTTGGAAGGACATATTATTCTTTTTGGGGTTTTTTTATCAAATATAATTTGGTAATCTATATATAAATAAAGTTAGTGATATTTTTTTTTCGAGATTATAAATATCAATCTCCTTAAAATTAATAAAATTTGCCTTATAAGGTTAACAAAGATGATATAGATCGGTCTTTTCATTTAATAAATAAATTGAGAAAATTAGTAAGTTGGATTAAAAATGGATATGAGACTAGAACCCGAATACTCGTGTTTTTGTTGAACCTAAACTCTTTTAATATACATCTAATTTTTTCTTTCTAGTGTTGTTAAAAAGCTCGACTTGGGTCGATTTTAAAAAACGGCCGATTAAAAGTTTCGCTAAAATAATATTATGTAAGCCTCGAGATTTGGTAAATAGAGCCAAATCTTTCTGCCATCTATGAGCAATCACATAACATTATTTTGCTAAAACATCGCGCTTCTTAACAACCCAAGCACAGAGCACACATATAGCTAGGGGGATTTTCTCTTTATAAAATCCTGAAGCCTATTGAATTGCTCACAAATTGCATGGGGAGTTTCATAACTTGTCGAAATGACTTCGAATCTGATTTTCATCAATAATGGCAAAAAGGTCCTTATATCCATTTTTCAAATAAATTTTAAACCTTAAATATTACTTTTTTGAAATATTATACTTTAGTTTGGCTGAAAAGTCAAGGATTTGGTAAGAAATTTTAAAATAATAGGCAAATTCTTGGTTAAAAGCAGGATACGCGCAAAGAGTAAAGCAGGAATAAAACATGAAATATGTTTATTTGAAATATTTTGTTTAATATTCATTATATACGTTTGATTTTATATATTACGAGAATATATCATGTGATTCCCTTGTCTCAAGAATTATAAGAGGACAAAATATTATAATTACTTAACCTTTAATTTTATTTTTTTGTAGATATATTTTTGTTAGCCAATAAAATTAGCAATTCCTGAAGTTAAATTTACATATTTCGTTTTAGAGAGTTGTGTCAAATTGTGTGGGTTGTGATGTATAATGGGTGTGGAGATAGGTATACATTATTATAATCCTTGTTAATTAGAAGTTCCAGTTAAAATCAAATTTAAAAATATATATATAGCTTTAAATTTAATTCTTAAACCATTATTTTATCGTAAATTTGTATGTCATGCTTATTAATTTTACTTTTATAGGGTGTTGAAGATTAAATCTGAAAAAAATAATTTTATAACACTAAATTTGTAGATAATAAGAATTTTAATTTAATTTAGATTCATATAATAATAAAATAATTAAAACTTAAAGAAATTAAATCTATTAATTTATTTCATTAGTTTTAGTGTTGCAAACATCTCGATTTAGAAGATTTTGGTCATATAATATTATACCAGCCTTGAGATTTCGTTAACAAATGTCCGAATCTTTCTGCCATCTATGACCAAAATCTTTATGCTCAAGCATAGTTTTTTGACTAAAACATTAGGTTAACCATTTTTAAAAATCGAGACGTTTAACAAAACTACATGTTTTTATTTTTAAAAATTTTTTATATTAGAATATAATTTGCCATTAAAAAATATATATAATGATTAATTTTTTTTTAAATAAATCTATATATAAACCGGAAAACCCCGATTTATTCTTTAAACCTGAATGTAACAAACTCATTATAATCATTTTAGCTAAGTGGAATGGAACTGAACCATACAAGTTTATGTATTCTTTCTTTATTATATTTTACTCGTCGGGGTATGGTGGTTCGGGAAATTTTAACGAATTGCACTCGTAGGCCGCTATCGTGACGGAAGCTATATGAGGACCCTATAATAAAAATTATATAATCATTCCACCATGATTTAAAAAAACAAATTAATATAAGTAATTCTGTACTAATGAATATACGTGAAATTGATATAATACAATTTAGTTTAACCCTTTCAAGCACGATTATAAATTCGAAAATCACTTATAAAATATTAAATTTAAACTAAACGCCTAGATCATCTTCATTGAAACTAGGTGTGCAATGCCCTCCCGATACCTGGAAAATTAATGGGCCGGGCAAAAAATTATTAAGATGGATCATTGATGAATTCGGATATTTGATATAGGTAATAATCCAGAAAGTGTAATGTTTTTAATTTAACCACCCCCAATATAAATAGTTATTCATTTAGGTGTTGAACTACATATATTTAAAGTTAGGCCTTGTATTTAAAAAAAACCCAGGCAGAGCAATCTTAGTAAAAAAATATGGAAACGGGCCGGGTCGTGTATAAATTTGGCCGGACCGAGCAAAATTTCCAACCTCGCCGTGCCTAAAAGATTTTGCCATTTGCAGACCTCTAATTGAAACCAACAAATAATTTAATTTAAATATATTTTTAATCACCCAAATATACTACACAAGTAGTGAATTTTTAAAAAAAGAATAAGATTTTATATTTTTAAGGCTAAAGAATTATTAATTTTCCTGATTAAAACATATTTAATAAGATTAATGCGCAATCAATGCAGCGTTTTCCCCTTTTTAAATTTTTTTGATGCCTACTGATATAGTTGAGGGAGGTGATCCATATACCATTTATATTGTTAAAAATATTTTTGAAATATTTAAAATGATATTTTATTTATAGATAAAAATATAACTTAATATTATAACAAAAAATTATCAAGACTTTTATTCGCACTTGAGAGTAAATCGCTCCATTCGTATTTTATCTAGAAAATATTACTCAAGTCTGAAAATTTTGCTCATGGATGGCACTAAGTTTGAACATCTGTTAGCGAAATTTCTAGAATTAGGCAATATTTTTCTGGCTAAAAATTGAGTTGGCCGCTTTTAAAAATCAGCTCAAATGGAGCGATTTTGCATCACAGAGGGTTAAAATGTATATTCCTAATTTATTTTTATTAAAGAATAATGATAAAAAAATTACCAAATACAGAACGAATGTATGAAGTCCGGTGCCCAATCCGATCGACGATAAAACGCCCAAGCCTATCCAATATACGCACCAAAATATTTTTTGTTTCGAATTTTGTAAATGCTTGTTATATATATTTTTTTATTATTAAATTTCAGAGTGTTTCACTTGATTATTAAATATTATATTGTTCAATCTCTATATAATTTTAAAAAATTTAAAAAGGGAGATCAATTTTTCAAAATGGACCCCAATTATTAAAAAATTACTATAAATAATAGTTTGTTAATGGACCCCAATTATTAAAAAATTACTATAAATAATAGTTTGTTAGAATAACTCCTTTTTTTGCTAAAATGTATTTGCTGAGGGTACAGTGATCACGTGTTAAATAAAAATGCATTTGGAAAATGGCATAAATATTTTCGTTATATTATTAATTGATCCACGGTTTAACAAGAGATATTTGGTTGTTTCCTAAATGTTTGCATTAATATTGATAAATTTTTGTAGATGTGGAAATTGTTTTTTTTGTCGAAGAAGGAATTTAGAGTTGAAATAGATATAAAAGATCCGAAGAAACTCTTATCATTTATAGATGGCAGTTTTTTAAAACTTAAAAATCTTGAATGGAGGGGGGGGGGTTATGTAGTTCTTCGGCTATTTTATGTTTTTTATGACTGTCATATTTTTTTTAAAAAGCAAATCGCCTATTAAAATGAAAGAGCATTTGTGTGACTTCAAATAAATTAAACTGCGCCACATTATATCGTCAAAATTAGGGATAAATTTCTTTTAAATTGGTAGTAAGGGGGGGGGGTCTGTATTCAATATTCCTCAATGATGATTCATCATAGTACCTTAAAATAGGGAAGATAAATCCTTGTTAGTATTTTAAAAAAATATACAAAAATAAATAATTATAAAATATGGTAGATTTTTTTGTTATTTAAACATCCGCTATTTTAAATTATTTATAACGAAATTGGTATATTTATTGGAAAATCTGATAAAAATATTTTCTCTCGTTTTTATTGGTAAGCTTTAAAATATACGAATCAGTCTCAGGTCTGGAGATATTGTATATAAAAGAACATAGTTATACTCTAGATCTAGATCCAAAATAAATTGGCACATATTACATTCCTTTTTTTAAATGTAAATAATTAATCCATTTTTAAAAAACGGCGGTTTTTTTAACCTTAAGCCATTTCCAAACAAAACGTTTCAAAGCAGTTTTCTAGGCATGTTTCCAACAAATTTATATTTATTATCAAACATATTTCATAACATAAATTTACCACTATTTAATCGTTAAAAATTAAAATGGCTTGTTTTTTTAATGACAATTAAATGGGGGGAGGGTGGTTCGCAAGCATTTTTATTAGACCTACAAAAATACGAATCGAATAATTCCATTATTCGTATTCGTTTAAATCGAATAATTTATTCGTATCGTATGAATAATAAAATGATTATTCGATTCGATTCGAAAATTTTATTTACCATGAATTAAAAAAGATCTATTATAAAATTTATTTTGTAAAATTTAACTAAGGATAAAGACAAACAAATTTTATTAGTGAGACAAAATAGAAGCATACATATATAATATATTTATATACAATGTGGAAAAATCAATATAATATTCATATCTATAATGTAGATAAATCTGACAACAGCCAATTTTTCAAACATAAAGTTTTTCGGATTGTTTCCTCCTTTAACGACATTCTGTATTTTGTAACCATATGAGCTCCAACAGAAAAGAGTCGCTCACATGGGGTTGAAGATCCCTGTATCGACAATATGTCCCTCGCCATTTTTTATAACACGGCATTAGCAATATTTTACAAATAAAGTGGTAAAAACTTTAGGCAAAAAGTCAAATTTATGATTTCTCCATCATCAAATGAAAGAGAAATATCAGGTTTGCCCGTCATTCTTGATGTGATGGGATTAACAGTTTATTATAATTGTATGTTATGTGTTATATAAATTACCTTCTTCGTCCATCTCTAACATAAAAGAATTTCTAAAGTAATGGTCTATTATGAGATAAATTAAAATGGAGTTTCAAAATTTGGCGCAATTTTCATTATTCCACTTGGAGATTTTATTAAATTGAAATATTTCAAATAATTCCTAATAATAATATATGATTTATATATGATTATTTTCCAATATATATTAATACTATAAATTATTTTAGTCGAATAATCTCGAATAATTCGATCGAATAATAGATAAAAAATTATTCGACGAATAATATATTTTCCTTATTCACTTCGATTCGAATAATTGTGTTATTCGTATTCGTAAAATACGAATCGAATAACAAATAATTCGTTTTAGGTATAATTTTTATTATGCATAAAAAATTAAATCCACAAATTACTATCCTTCGTTTGAAAATTATAAATAAATAGGAATTTCCTAACTGCTTTTTTTAAAAAAAAACGTTGACTGAAAATGGCTTTAATAAATCTTTTAAAATTCTTTATATAAACTGTTCCGCCAAAAAAACCGTTAAAATGGTGGCGAATTTTTATTAAGGTCATCAAATAAAACGAATCGAATAAGTAGGACTGTAAGCACTCATTTTATTCATCTATAACAATCCAATACTAGCATAAATTTATAATTTTAGCCAAAACTTTTATTATTATCTTACTTATTTCGCGTGAGTAAGTTTTCAAGAAATGATAAAAAAGTTTTTATAATAAATATTAGTCTATAAAAATGGGCATTTTATTTCAATTTTTGAATAAAAATTTATATAAAATAGACCATGTCGGTGTTTTGGTACGATTAGATAGCAGGTTAATTTTAAAAATTTTGTCAGAAAGAATATAAACATGTCTTCTCCAGTGAAATCATAGCTACTTAATTTAATTATGGTAGGTATAGGTGGGCAATTGCTATATTTTTAGCCGTTTAAGCCAATTATTAGCAGGCTAAAAAATCGACTTAACCGAGTTTTAAGCCGAAAATTATCACTTAGGATTAGGGGTTTTTCTTAAAAACATAGCAGCTCAAATTTGTAAGAAACTAATATAAGTTAAAACACTTTAATGACAGGAACCCGAACCTTTATTTATAACGGTTCAGTTTGGTTATGGTTAAATATATAAAAATTTATTATGGTTACGGTTCGGTCCTTAAGAGAAAATTTAGGTTCGGTTCAGCTAATTGTAAAGGGTTATAAAGATTCATTGCGGTTATAAAAAAATTTAAAATTTTTATTGAAGCAACACCATAAATTGTGATTTTAATTAATAATAATGAATATTATTTATTAAAATTTTTCCACCATTTTTCGATATTGACGGCAAAATTTGGAAGGATTTAATTTTTTTTATAGTTAGGGATTCATGTTCTTGAGAATGATGCCTTTACAAAAAAGCTCCATAGTCACCTATAAGTATGATCTTGCACTTATCTATATTACAGGCTGATTCATTTAAGAGAATATTATAAGTAAAAAAAAGAAACGGACTGGGTGCGGACTATTTAATTTTTTCTAAAGGAAAATAAAATAAATTTTTATGTTATCATCATAAATAAAATAAAAAACATGAGGTCAGAACAAACAAATATCTTACGATATTGATAATTAGAATTTACCATCAATTTGTAAAGCCACATCACATGGATATTATTAGTTAAAGATTTACAAATCCTTACATCTAGGAAATAATATATAAAAACAAATTTGAACAACTTTGCAAATACATGCATTTCAAGACAATACAAAATCTATTTTTCATAATAAAAGCTATAACAATAATATACTAATGCTTTAAAAATGCCAAAATCAATAAATAATATATAAAATTAAAACCTTATAAATTTGGTCATTTTGAAATTTATATGGAAATAACCTTCTATCTAATTACTCATGGGAAATGGTTATTTAGATATTTTGCATACTAAATAGAGAAAAGTTAAAAGATTGCAGATCAATTTAAGTAATATGGAAAAATTAATACATACTTCTTATAGATATTAAATAAATACTTAATAATTATAAAATGGATTGATACCTTAAAAATATACCAATATAGTGAAATATCTAATACCACAAGGAAAAGAATGTAAATGAAAAAAAATGTAAATTCATTCTATTATTGTTGAAACCGGTTTAATTTTATTTATAAAGGTTCTTTTAACTCCTTATATCTGTTCAGTTACAGTTCAGATATTTATTTATAAAGGTTTAGCGGTTTGGGTCCCTATTTAAAGGTAACATTTTCTCCGAAACGTGTCTGAAGATTGAGCCAAATTAGGCGATATTTAGCCATTATCCAACTATAATTGTAATGATCATAATGAATTATAATAGAATTGAATTTTGGGAGATTAAGATCACTAATGAGTGTTTTTAATTATGTTATTTTTCATGATTAGCAGATATGGCTAATATGATTACAATCAAAATATTATTTGTGTATATTATGAGTGCAATCTTTACACTTGAAATTATATTAATACCCTCTTTTTTTGTATTTCTTAAAAACAATAGACAAAAATAAAAATAGTTAAAAAAAATTTAAATTATTATAAAGGCAACATTTTTAATTAAATGAATGTTTAATTTAAAAAAATCAGTTTATTTGAGCTAAATCCGAAATTTTAAGTTAATGTGAATCAAGTCAAAACCAAAATAAAGATTAGTACAGATGAGTTCCTAATAAGAATATTCGAAAGATATTTTATTTCAAATCTAATAATTTATTATGTGTAATTAGTCAAAAAGAATAAAAATAAATTTAATATAATTTTTTTTTAAATATTATGATTGTTTGTTTGTAAAATATTGAAATGATTCCAGGATATTTATTTATTTTATAAGTTTACAAAAAAAGGTTAATTTGCATAATCTTATTCATAATCAGATATTGATAAAAATTCAATGTTTTATGTTATTCATAATTTAATTAATATTCAAAAAAATACTTACAAAAAAATGTAATTTTCTGAGCATTATATTTTTCTGTCTTATCTTTCTGGTAAGCATTACTTTAAAAAATAACATTTTAAAGAAATTAAAGTCAACCTTAATCTAATCCAGTTATATATTCCAAAAAAAATATATTTGATTAACATTATCATATTTAAATGTTTTTCAAAAATAAAATTATATTTATAAATCTGTGTGAATAATTATTGATTTATTAGGTTAGTGGGTAGATTATGTGTGATACAAGCAGGGTTGAGCAATAACGCGAAAAGTAGGGTGCGTCAATGCTCATCTTAATATTTATTTTTAATCCTGATTAGCTTGACAATTATATTATTTACATAATTATTAGAATTTTATAAAATAACTAATAAAAAAATTATTAGCGATACTATAAAATCGACTTATAAAAAGTATTAATCCAAGGTTTTTATATTTAAATACTTTTTTCAAAATTTTTTTGTGGGTATTTAGTATTTATATTTTAAATACATTGACTAACCCTGGATACAGGTCAGCATGATGGGCCAAAAAAGATTACTGGACTGGGCCAGATAACTTGTGAAATAAATTTTTATGGGCCATGTTAAAACTTCACAATTTTTTTATGTTTAAAATTAGGCGTTTATATTTTTTTCCTTAATAAAAAAAAATTATTACAGGCTGGGTCTAACAACTTGTACAAATTTATTTTACAAGCCAGCCAAGCAAAAAAATCATGAACCAACACTTTTTCAAGTTTCAATGGGGTCAGTTTGGACCAACTTTTAGTTTATAAGGTGCATTAATATCTTTAAATATAAGGTGCAATTATGGTTGTGCCGATCCACATATTTTTCACCGATCCGATCCGATATTTATACTGATTTCACCCTCCTTTTTTATTTCTACAATTAAGACTATAATTTTAAAAAAAATTATATAATAGATAAAAAAAAATATTATAATTATGTAAAATAAATATACATAACATAAAATAACAAAAAAAAGAAAAGTAAAAAGATAAGATCGGATCGGTTTTTTACAGGTATTCGACCCGATCCGATAATTTATGAAAACGCTAAATATAGGTGCCAATCCGATATTTAATAGCCCTAGTTGTAATAGGCAAGAATTAAAAATATGACACAATCTACCTAATGGCCAAAAAATATATTTGCTGATTTGTTGATATTCATAAGAAAATATAAAATAATTCTTAGTGAGCCTGAATTTTAAATATTTATTATTTTTCTTATAGCAAAATTTTAAACAAACACTTAAATATAATATAAATTGACTTATTTGATTAAAGAAAACTTATTCAAAAGATAGATAAATAATATTAATAAATTGTGAGATTGAATAAGTAAAATCAGTAGTCTTACTGTGAATGGGTGGCTATTGTATAATTTAACCCATCCATAAACTGGTCCCACATGCTAAAACATCCTACTTTGATGATATTAATGGAATAAATAAATCTCTAAGTTTATGAATATCAAGATTCTTATTAGTAATGAACTATTTAAACCTGAATGAAGTGTTATTAATAAGCCAAATTCGGGTATATTAAAAAAATTGCCCGATTAAGATTATAACCAATAACATTATGTAAGCCTAAAAATTTTCTCATAGTGGCAGAAATCTATTTGCCATTATTTTAACTAAAATCTTAATCATGCCAATTTAAAAAATAAACTCAAATCAGATTTTTAACAATACTACCTGAGTAGTGTTGTTAAAAATTACTTTGAAATATAACTAGTTACATAATAAGTTACTTTATACATCATTCATAAACGCATTATTTATTTATTGAACCATTTATTTAATATAAAAAAAATTAGGATATAATTATTATATTCAATTATTTGAAAAAATATACAAATTTATATAAAAAAATAATTAAATCGAAAAAAATATCGGAAAATAGAATATATTTATTAGAGACCTGCAGGCCCGGCCTTAAGCCCGGCCTGGGTACACAGGCTGGGCATATTTTAATTTTTTTTTGAGGCCGTATATTTTAAAACTAAATATTTGAAATAGCCATTATTAGCTAGAAAAATCAAAAAGAAATATAATATATTAAAAATCCGGGCCGGGCCTGAAAATTTTTCTTATTAGTAGTAGTAATGATTACTAATTTAGTAGTTTATTCAAAAATTATTTAATTCTAAAATAATCTAAGTTTCGTTCCTTATACTAAGTCTATGATCCAATTTAGTAAAATTTTTTAAAAAAAATACATTTATATGAAATTCCATAAATGTTACCAGCAACTTGATGGCAAAAAATATGGAATATATTTTGCTAAATAGATAAAGAAATATAATATTAAAAAATAGGTTTATTAATTAAATTTGGTTACAAAATTATGAAACTCAGCAATATAACAATTTAAGAAAAGAAAATCTATTTGGACGGGAAATTATATTATTGTGCATATCTCTTGTGAACATAATCAGACATTTAAACAAAATTTTAAATTAATTTTTATTGTAGTGGGCAAAACTAGCGTTATCCACCTAGGTTCACCCATTAGAGATGAAAGTGCTATATTTCATTTCAGAGATGAATTTCTTGTCAAATCCAATAGAATGATAAATATTTTAAAGCATTTACCTGCTCATCAGGTTTTTAATTTATTTAAATATTTTTTTATTCATTCCTAAAATTTTCCATGCCTTTTGTTCATCAACAATTTTCGTGTCCCTTGAAATATTATTAGACCTTGAGGTTCATTATAAAAATACTCTTGAATCTATTTTAAATATTAAATTCTCTTCACTCTTCAGTATATGCAAGCTGCCCTTCCACCAGGTGGTATAGGTATCCATCCCCCATATCCTTAAGCATTGCAGCCTTTTTATCCTCAGTTGCTAAATTTCCATACACACTTAGATAATATCGAATCCACATCATATGGCAGCATTAAACCTTTGGAGCAAAGATTCTCCAAGCTACTCATATCCAAATTTAAGACAAAGCGACTGGAATATATGATTGATACAGCATTGCGTTGAATACTTACACATCTCCATTGCTCTTTCTCCCTTAAACCCAACTCCGAGTATACAAAATGACAACAATACGTCTCTTTTGCTGGAATCAAATAATTCCAGCCTCAGCCATATGCCACCTTGGCTACAAATGGTTAGAAACTATACACCCCGAGTATACAGAATGACAATAATACGACTCTTTTGCTGGATCAAATAATTCCAGCCTCAATCATATGCCACCTTGGCTACAAATGGTTAGAAACTATACCTAATTCTAATTTAGGCTTGTTTATTAACCAACAAAGAACTTTAGCTATAGGTCTTCGTTTTGTGAAATCTTAAGGCCAACATCATGTGTCCCTTGTGAAACTCATATTGATAGTGTCATTTTTCATAAGGCAAGTTATCCAGGCACTATGCCATCAATTCTATCATCAATAGAATCTTGACATCCACAAATATTCCTTCCACACTGTAACCCTCTGGCTTCAGCCCTGATGGAATGACGCTAGTCCCTTGGAACCAAGGTATACCCCTTGCATGGAATTATACATGTGTATATCATTTTGCCAGACCTTTTTATTTCAACTCTATCACAAAAGCTGAAAATACAAAAACAAATAAATATAGCCACCTTAATAATCTTTGTTTGTTCCAATAATCTGACACCTGTGGATCATTTGGACCCCAAGCCCTAAAATTATTCAAAACAATAGGGCAGGTTAAGTTTAATCACAGGTGATCCAAAAAAAGCTTCTACCTATGACAAAGAATATAAATCAAAATTTGTCGATTAAATGTATGTCTATACATGGGTCACTAAACCCCACAAAACAAACCCAAATACATTATTTTATTTAATTTCTCTTTTTTTAATTATATATTTTTACATAAAATATAGTATTATAATTTTAATAAATAGTTATATTATTTTAAAAAAACATATTAAAAATAATTTATTTTTATATATATTATTTAGATTTATACATATATATTTTTTTAAGTAACTAGTTACTTTTGGCAATTACATTTCAAAAAAAATAACTAGTTACAATTTTTAAAATGTAACTAGTTACAGGTGAAACTAGTGTTGTTAAACGACTCGTTTTGAGCCGATTTTTAAAAACGGCTAACTCAATATTTTATCCAGATTAATTTTGACTAAGCCTCTAGATTGCGGTAGTAGATGTCCAAACCTTTGTTCCTTCTACAAGCAAAATCTTCAGGCTTGCGTAATATAATTCTGAATAAAATATTGAGTTAGCCGTTTTTAAAATTCGGCTCAAAACGAGTCGTTTAACAACACTAGGTGAAACAACAGATATTTGATTTTTCTTACATAACAAGGTTTGTTGTGAGCATCAAAAAATGATAATGCCAGCTCAGATCCCTATGGGATGAGTCATAATTAGATAGTTAAAAAAATGAATATAATAAGTACGGTGGCATAGATTAGCTTTCTTCACTGATATTGATTCAATATGCAAAAACCAGCCAACATGCAATAAATATACTTTAAACAAATCTAAAACTAAATTGACACAATGTATTGTCTTTAGGAAATATTAGTGTTGTTAAATAACTTGATTTGAGTCAATTTTTAAAAATGGCTAACTCAATATTTTATCCAGAAAAATAAGAAAGCTTAGAGATTTTGCTCATTTATGACAGAAAGTTTGGTAAACAAAGTCTTAAAGCTTAGGCAATATTTTTCTGGATAAAATATTGACAGCTGTTTTTAAAAATTAGCTCAAAAAGTTGTTTAACAACAATAGGAAGTATCCATTAAATTAATTCATCTTTAAGCATAAGCAAAAATATTGATAAACAACCCTAGATATACAAATACTCACTTAATATTTATCCTAACTGATATGCTTTATAACTAATTTATAATCATTACCTCTATTATATATATAAAGAGATACTATAATTTGATTATAATAAAATGATTTTATTTTATCACAAATTTAAATTTATTGAAAGCCCAGTATTTGTTATAATAATTTATATGTTATAACTATGTAAATTAGTGTTTCCTAATTCTATAAGATAGAAAATTAAACTATATAATAGCATATTTAAATACTATAATAAAAACTTTGAATATTGATGTTATAAATTTACTCATAAATTTGTAAATATAAATCCTTAACAGCAGACATACCTTTTGATGAGGTCCAGGCATATAACAGGATAAAAGCATTAAGGTAATTAATAATATGAACAAGGAGACTTTGATTCTATTTCTTTTAATTCTAATAAAAAATATTTTAAATGATAAAAATATCATTAGATAAAATTTTTCTATTACTTTTTGATAAGTTTTTTAAGACCAAGATTAATTTCTAATAAAAAAAACTTAAGTGTTGTAATAGGATGTCTCCAAAGGACTAGTTGATGAATTTGGATGTCAGTATTAAATGAGCTATCTTGCAAATAAATATTATTAGAATAATGAATGTTTTTTGTATTTTTATTTGATTCTAATATATCTCCTTCCCCTTTTATTTTGTTATCCAGACATCCGACTTCGGATATTGATTCATTCATTTTATCTTGAGAAATTTTCATCATACCAGTTCGTTTAGTGAATGAAGAATCTCCATTACAATTATGAAATTCTTTTTTATAATAATTTTCGCCTGGTATAACTGACATCAATATATATGAGCCCGAATCTAAATTTTCTTACTAAAATACATATGATTTATAAACAAACTTCAACGTTTTTCTAAAAATTTTATTTTAGCGTATTGGGGTACAAACACATCGTTTTACAATGATTTTCAAAAATATTTTTAAAATTTTAAATTGGCATATAAATTCAAGCGTATTGTATATAACAGAGTTGGGCAGGTCCACCAGACAGCATCTACAAAAGCAGGGGGGGGGACAGTTTGCATCCAATTTTTCTTGAAGGAGGTAGAGGCGCCAATAGGGGTAGGATAAATTTTGGGGATTATCTCTTAAATTTTGAGATGAAGAAGGACAAAATATATTGCTGTAAAAATTAATACTTTTATTATAGACCTATTATAATACAATTATATTGCTGATCATTGGCCAAATCTATATATTGCAAACAATCATAGACATTATTTTCCAAATAACACTTTCTCAGAGTTGGGCAGGTCCAACGAAAAAAGAATCCAGATACAGATACAGATTTTTTATAAAAAATGAATCTTAGATACAGATACTAGTATCTTTTTCAACATATTAAAAAGATACAAGATATAGATACTTGTATCTTTTACTAAATTAGAGTATCTTAAATACAATATACTTTTAAATTATCATTACCAATTAAATTAGAATAGTTTATAAAATACAGTTTTTATTATTTATTTGTAAAGAACATAGCATACACATATAAGAATGAATATTTGAAATATTTAATAAAATATTTATTAATGAATTAATCATAATAACCAGGGATTTTAATATTAGTTTTTGCCTATTATTAGCTTAAACAGCATATTTAATGGGAGTTAAAATTTGCAAATAAGAAGAAAAAAATTAAATCAAATGATTTATTAGAATTTGCAGGTTTTTTTCTGTGTAGTTTTAAATATAGCTTATATTCGAAGTATATGGCTAAATGGCATCTCTAAAAAAAATATACTAATTTATTTTATTCATTATCTTTAATAAGTATTTATCAATATTTGTTTGTGATATTTATGTATTTTTTAAATTAGTTTTATTTTCTAATATGACTTATTAATTCTTGCGTTTGTAATATCATATATATAAATATCATTTAAATCTCTTTTCAAATTTTTTTTAATATATTTATTGCAAAATAATTAATTATATATAAAAAATATAAAAATTATGTACAACATTATATTATTTAATTATTAAATACATAACAATTTTCTTTAAAGCATTATAAATTGATTATATTTTATAAATAAGTACTGTAATGTAATTTTATTTATATCATAAATAAATAAAAGTAATTAATAAAGTTAAATTCTATCTTATTATAATTATTTTATTAAGAGCCTTTTAAAATTTTCTAATGTTATATATCAATTGTAGCTTAAATATTTTCTCTAATAAAAACTTGCTAAAATAATTATATATAAAATATATTAGCGATGTGCCGATATTTTTTATTGGATCGGGCCGATTTCATCCATTTTAAAATATCGGTTATTGGCCAATATTATAAAATTTGATCCAATATAAAATGGCTTCTTTAACAAAAATAAAATGTTATCAAATTTTAAAAAAAGTTATATCTAAAATCATTTATTTTTAAAAATAAAATCGAAATCCATTTTTATGTATATTTTTATAAATAACAATATTTAATTTATAAACATGATGTTTTTTTTGAATTTTTTTTAGAGGAGGTTCGGTTTTTCCGGTACGAGTGATGAATATGGATATTATCTTCAAGGATGGATATAAACTGATAAGTGATTGTATTTGTACTTTGAATTTAATTTAATCATATATTTATTTCTTATTTTAGGTTTTAAATTATATTTCTAGAGTACTTTCCCCGTCCCTTTTTTTAAAATAGGGCCGTAGGTTTTGGGTGTGGGCTGTTCTCTTAGTCCTCCCTATCTGTTCCAGCCCACAGACGTTTAAATAATAGTTTATGAACTATTATGCGTACAAGTACGTGCGGCTTGCCCACAAACGTGTGAAGGGCTCCTCATATTTTACTTTATACCTAACTTAAATCTTCCAATTAGATGGAAATGAGGAAAACCTAGCGTAGCTCTGTTGTACCTACAACGTTGAAAGGGCGTATGAGCTTTATTCCGTATTCCGTATTTATAAACATTCTGCCATATTGTTATTTTTTTTGCGCATTCTGTTTATAAAAGTGTGCGATTATCTCTTCAGAATCTGTTTTTAGTGATGCTGGTTATATTGACAGTTAATATCGCCGCAAGCTGACCTCTGATAAATTGGAAATATTAGTATTTCTAAAAAGAAATCTTCTATATAATTAATGTTAAATATTTATTTCAAATATCATAATATAATAGTTTATTACTTATTATGTGTAATAGATTAATGTTATTACTTATTATATAAAAGTGATTTAACAATAAAAATATTTTGTATTTTAGAATTGCAATTGAATTGTATATAAACAATAACTGATCATTATAATATATTTAAATTAAATGATATAAGTTATGGTATAGTTAAATTATAGATGTTATACTAATAAAAAGTATATTAAAAATTAAAACCATTGGTATCTTTAAAATATATATCCAAAATTTTTTTACTTTGATAATCAGCCATCTTCTATAAAAATTTTTAATAACAATTATCTAAGAGGGACTTAAGTATAGGTATTATTATGTTATTAATTATAAAATAAAAATGTATAATATACTTTAATATGTTTAACAAAGTTTGTAGAGGAGTTTTTACTTGTGCAATTTTGACATTCAGGTTGTACCTTGTCCTTTTTCACATGAATTACTGTATAAAATTTTCCATCTAGATATTAAAGTTTCGGGTTTGATTCAGGAGAACCTATCTCCATAATTTCATCTCCACTACTATGAATGTTAAACATTCTACAAATTAAAAAATATTACATATAAAATATATCCATTTCTTATTTAGTTTTGGTGTTGTTATTTTTAATCTATCTATCTTTGTGACCTGTAAAATTTCCAATTAATTTTGGTTATAAATATATTTAAAATAAGCGGAAAAAAATAAAGAAAATAATAAAAGATTTCACGAAGAAAATAAAGTTACATTGTGTCATATGTAAATGTTTTAAACATGAATATTAAAAAGAATCTGTATCTATATCTGTATCTTTTTAAAGAAAATGAAAAAGATACAATATTCTTTTCAAAATAAAGGATCTTAGATACAGATACTAGTATCTTATTAAAAATGTCAATAAGATACTGAGTACAAGATACAAAAGGATCTTGTATCTTAGATACAAGTATTCGCGGTACTGCCCAACTCTGCACTTTCTGCTAACATTTTAAATGTAATTTACAAGGTATAGACATTCTCAGCAAACTCATTATACTATAATAATGCATTTATTGTAAATGAGAGGGTTCTTAATTGAATTCATTATCTAAAAAATAACTCCTTTATATTCGCAAAATTTTGATAGTTGGTAGTGGAGATAAAATAATTTAAGTAAAATTTCTGAAAGGAGTATCATTATAATTAAAAAGGTGGGCGGCGGGAGGTAGCATAGGTTATTGAAGGGGGTTTGCATCCAGGGATAATCCTGTCATTGAGACGCTGCCTCCGAAAAAGATTCTTTCTAAAAAGATGAATATTAGTTAGATACTAGTATCTTATTTAAAATATCAAAAAGATACAAGATAAAAAATACATATATCTTTTGCTAAATGAGAGTATCTTAAATTCAATATACTTTTATAAAATTAACATTACCAATTAAGTTAGAATAGTTTATAAAATACAATTTTTATTATTCAATGGTGAAGAACATTGTTATGAATTATTATTCTCAAAATTGATGTCATTTATCGATTTTTAGAATTGTTATTATTTTTATTTCTTTTATCAATTTTTTTTGAATTGTTACTATTTTTGATCGATTCTCGTAGTTATATTTATTTTTATTTTTCCTTTAATATATTTATCGATTTTTTACAAGAATTGTTTTTTTTACATTTTTTCAAAAGATATATAAGAACAATTTTTGGATTATTATAGTTGTTGGATTATTATAGAAATAAAGATGAAAATGAAAAACAAAGTTATACGTTAGAGAAAGTAAAATTGAAAATATAAAAAAATCTAACATTGGCGACAGATAAAATTCAATATAAAAGTATCTAAGATGACACCATCGATTCCCATTAAGGAAAACAGTGATTCTTTCTCAACATTTCATATTAAATTAGAGGCCTATTTCATATTGAGCGATATATCGGACAACGAGAAAAAAAGGGCAGCACTCGTATCAGTATTGTCCACCTACGACTTAAATAAAGTAATTTTAAAATTCGCTCCCAAATCTATTAATAAAATTATATGACCATATGTTAGATTCTTTGATAGCTAACGAAAAAAAAATAGCACCATTGGAAAGTTTCCACTTTGTTAAACGTACCCAAAGAGAGGGAGAAACTAACTTGAAATTTTTAAATTCGTTAAAGGTTTTAGCATTGAAATGCAACTTCAAAGAGAAATATGAAGAAAATCTAAAAATGCAAATAATCAAGGGATTGGAGAGTAAAGAGATCAAAACAAAATTATTATTAGATGAGGACATGGGAGTAGAGAAAATCGAAAAACTCCTTCGAACTATGGATTTGATAGAGGAAAAAGAAAAAGCGAAAGATATATTTTATTGTCAAGATGGAAAGGATCGAGGCGAAGATAAAATAGAAAGTAAAAATAAGTTATATACAAGACAATCAAAAGCGCAATAGTAATAATAATAGCCAGGAATGATAAAGGGACAATTATCCTTACCAAACAAGATTAGATAATAGATTTATTAGATATAATTATTATAACAACTCGAAGTATGGAAGGCATAATCATGATAACCCGCAGTGATAATAATGATAACAAATATAATAATAATGTTAACAAATATAGTAATAATGATAACAAATATTATCGATTTAATTGGTATGATAACTATGATTATTATCATAAAAACAAATATCAATATTCTGATAAGATAAGGGGAAAGTACAGCACTAACAATAATAACTATAGATACAACAACAATCAATATTACCAGACAAAAAAAACT